GTTTGTTAGAAACTAGAGTTCAAGCTAGCAAGTTTTCTTTTATTTCCAAGAAAATTAGGAATGATTGGTGTTGGATTAATAATTATGATGCACATCTGGGGGGTCGTATCCGGATTGGTTGGAATCCTGTGTTGTTTTCTGTTTCTGTGTTGGACAGCAAGGATCAATGCATGCTACTCAAAGTGGTGTCTTACAGTCTGGGGATGTTATCCATTGTACTCCTGTTTATGCAGCCAATCAGAATAAGGAAAGGAAAGATTTATGGAAATTTATTACAAATTATTCTTCTCTGATACAAGGGCCTTGGATTACTTTTGGGGACTGGAATGCAATTAGGTTCCATAGTGATAAAAGAGGTGGGGGTTCAGTTCCACAACGGCTGCTGGATGATTTTAATAAATGTTTGCAGGATTCCAATTTAAGGGAATTGTATCCTATTAATGGTGAATGGTCGTGGTTTAATAGACAGAGGGTCAGAAGGAGGATTCATGTGAAGCTTGATAGAGTTTTTCTCAATGATAAATGGATGGCTCAGTTTCCTGGTACAAAATTCTCTTATACAATGGCCAAAACATCAGATCATTATGGTGTTATGATACAAGTTTCAAAGCACTTTGCTACAGGTCCAAAACCATTCAAAATGCTTAAAGTTTGTTGCAACAAGAGTGAGGTACTCCCCTTGGTTCAGCAGGCTTGGAGTTGTGAGATTTCTGGTTCTCCCATACATCAGTTGCTTCAAAAACTCAGAGAAGTTAAGAAGGTTATTAAGGAGTGGAATAAGAATATCTTTGGGAATGTGGGAGAGAAAATTATTGAGACTACTCGAAGGCTTGAAGTGCAAGAAAATTTGTTAAAGGCCCCCTCTGATAATCTCCTTGATGAAGAACAACAGGCTAGAGATGATTATAATGCTGCTTTGACAGATCAGGATATTCTTTTAGCTCAGAAGTCCAGAGTCACTTGGCTTCAAGACAATGATAGATGCACAGCATTCTTCCATCAAAAACTGAAGCAACATCGTAATTTTAATGCTATTACAAAGGTGGAGAATGAGGATGGGGAAGTCACTACAGATCCAAAGACCATTACTGACTGGTTTGTTAACTATTATTCTAAACTTTTTACAAGGAGGTCTACAGAGGTAGTTTGTGACATTAATCCTAGGCACTCACTGGATCCTGAAGATATAGATATGCTTGAAGGTCCTATAATTTATGAAGAAGTGAAGAGTGTGGTGATGGCTTTCCCCCCTGACAAAGCCCCTGGCCCTGATGGTTTTCCAGCAAGATTTTATCAAGTTTTTTGGACTGTGGTAGATCAAGAAGTGGTGGCTGCTGTCCAACATTTCTTTTCTACTAAATCTATGCCTATAGGGGTAAGTCGTTCTTTTCTTACAATGATTCCTAAGGTAGGAGATGCTTCTAAATTAGGAGATTTTCGACCTATAGCTTTGTGTAACTTGGTCTATAAAATCATCACCAAAATTATGGCAAATAGACTTGCTTTGGTTCTACCCAAATTGGTGGGTATGGAACAATGTGCCTTTGTTCAAGGTAGGAAAATTCAAGAAGCACTTATCATGGCCCATGAATTAGTGAGAGATTTTAGAAAGCCTACTCAACCTGCTATGGCTCTAAAGATTGATATTAGAAAAGCCTATGACTCGGTTTCTTGGGAGTGCTTGGTGGCAGCTTTGAAAAAGTTTGGTTTCAGAGATGGCTGGATTGAGTTAATTCTTTTCATTTTCAATTCATCTAGATATTCAATATTACTGAATGGTACACCTGCTGGATTTTTTAAACCAGAGAGGGGGCTGAGACAAGGCTGCCCTCTTTCCCCTCTGCTTTTTACTCTTGTTACAGAACTCTTTTCATCTCTTGTTGCTGAGGCTGTGCAAAAGAAGGAGCTGATTGTTTTGAAAGCTGTGAAAAAATTTCAACATCCTTTTACTCATATTTTTTTGCAGATGACTTAATGTTAGCATGTGAAGCATCAATTCACAATGCTACAGTGCTTGATTCTATTTTAAAGAGATTTGAGGTGAACACTGGTTTGCAGATTAATCAAGGGAAAAGCAAGGTTCTGTTTTCTAGAGCTGTCCGAAGAAAAAGTCCATTGCTGCAGGTTCTGAAATGTGCAGAAGATTGTTTCCCTATCAAATATTTGGGGCTGCCTTTGAGCCCAACTGGTTTGAAGAGAGCTCACTGTAACGAGCTGTTAGATAAGATCTCTAGTAAACTAACCTGTTGGAGCACCAAAATATTATCATTAGCAGGTAAATTGGAGTTGCTTAGGGCTGTGGTCACACCTATTTTTCAATATTGGTGTAGCATCTATGATATTCCTATGGCTGTTATTAATCAAATTCAGAAAAAGTGTAGGGATTTTCTATGGGGCAGTACTGAAAATGCAAAGAAGCTGCATCTTTTAAACTGGAACAGGGTTACTCAAACTAAAGCTGAAGCAAGCTATCTGATATTCAAATGGCCTCCAGATGTGTTTTAGCTTGGGATTTTCTAAATAGTAAAGATAAGTTGTGGATTTCTTGGCACACTTTCAGGTATGCTTCTAATTACTGGACAGCGGTTACTAGAATCACAAGTTCAATTGTTTGGAAATCTTTGGTGGCAGTTCAAGAAATTCTTCAACAACATATCAAGTTTCAGATTGGGAATGGACTGCAGATCAGTTTATTCAATGATCCATGGTGTGATGGACTTTTTTTAAGGTCTTTATTTGGCCATAGAGTGATACGCAGCTTGCAATTGCCTAGAGAAGCCTCTGTTAATTCTTTAATTCTGCATGGTGCTTGGAATTTCAATATATTGCAAGCTGATAGCTTGATTCCAGTTCGAGATTATCTGAGGACAGTTAACATTAGTGCTGGAGACAATCTACTGAAGTGGGAAGAAGGAAAGTTCTCTTTTAAAAGTGCTTGGAGAGTCACTAGAAGTGTGGAGATAGAGGTTCCATGGTATAAACTCTGTTGGGGTAAGGCAAGGCCTAGGTGGTCTATAACTGCAGTTTTGGTCCTCCAGAATAGATTGCCTTCAATGACAAATTTGCAAAGAAGGAAAATATGTCTAGCTGCCAGATGTTCCTTATGTCAGAATGACATTGATGATACAAATCATATTTTTGTTTCCTGCCCTTTCTCTTGTGGTTTTTGGACTTGGTTGGGAGAGTTATTAGGTTGGGATATGGTTTCATTTCAGGAGGTGGTTTCGGTTTGGGATTTGTTTTTATGGATGGATAATTTGTATCACAAATCTAAATCTCTACAGAGCCTGTTTGCTGCTGGTCTTTGGCATATTTGGAGAGAGAGGAATAATAGATTACATGGTTCTCCTAGTGCTCTTTTAGGGGTAGTAGCAAGAACTACTCTTATGGAGGTGTGTGAAGTCCAGGGTATTCTTCTTAATGATGTTCTTCCTTAATTTCTGGGTTGATTTTTTGTTTTTGTACTGGAAATGGGCTTTTTCAATAAGCCCATTGTCCTATATTTTTTCTTTTCCAAATTTCTGAGGGTATGCCCTCTGTGCTCCTGTATTCATTTTTACATTTTGAGCTTCAATACAACACCAATTATGAAAAGGAAAAAAAAGGTCTGTGGGCTGGACTTGTCATTTAGGAAGGAAATAGATAAATGGTTGCTGGACCCCATGTGACATTCCTCTTAATATCCTTTGTGACTTGTGGCCCATGACGAACTAACAGCCCATTATTCATGGGTTTAGCAGCCCATAAGACAAATCATGGCCAAACTTAAGCCCATCTGAAGCCACTGCTTGAAAGGTTCCTATGATGCCACGTACTCATCCACGTGGTTGGTTACCATCAAGGCGATCAAAACGAAGATTTGAATGGCGCTAATGAAGGGCGTTATGCGTACGTCTCGTGATTCTGCTGCAGTCGGCGTGTTGATGGACACTCGTCTCTTTCCTTGGGAACCAAGATGAATCTGCAAATGCCGATGACGTCCACCATTAAACTCTCCAACAGACGTGATGTGGGAATCCTCACCAACATCATAATAGGACTTAGGAAGGATGCAAGGTGAGGTTTCCTCAATCAAGTTGACCTTAAAGGCCACTCGCTGGTCTTCTACAAAGACATACTCCGGCACCACAACTCCGGCAGAGACATAGAGAAGAACTCTCTCACCACTCGCCAAATCATCCGCCTCCACACCTTTGAATCCACCACAAAGGTCTCCTATGGCTTCGAATAGCTTGTGGCACCAAAGATGAAGGGGCAACCCAAACAACATCACCCTTCGTATCCTTTCTCGATCTTCCACGGTTGAGCAGCCCACGCAAAGTACTACTTGTCGATGTATAAAATAGCTTCTCCCCATCTCTTCCTCCCCACATCCAAAACCCTTCGTGCTTCGGCCTCCGATGGTAGTCGGAACAGGAAAAGGCCGTCAGGTAGGGTTGAGACCTTCACCCCACACGAAATCTTCCAGCACTTCGTCGCCCACTCCTCAATCCCCTTAGTACACCCCACATCTCGATCAAAACGACCAACCAAAAAGATTTCAGGACAGATTCTCGTTCCGTTATACTTTTTGTGATCAACCCTAAAAACCACATCTCTGCCGATTGAACAGCTTTTGATCTCTCCATGGAAATTGAGATGTGGTAGAGTCGCCACTTTGAGATACGAACGTTGCACGACGCTGATCCCTGCCAAAAAAACCAGAGATCCGGCACCAAAAAAAAGAAATGATGAAGTAGAAGACTCCAGCGTCAAGGAAGGTAGAAAAGGTAGAGAGAAAAGTCAACCATTAGTCAATAGCTAAGGTTGACAAACATGAAATATGAGATCTACTAATTAAAACAAGTTGGATGGACATCTAATCAGCAAAGATTAATTCAATGAAAATAATTGAATAATTAGTTTATTACTTCCACGTATAAACATCTATAGGAGTTAAATGAACTGTCCAAAACCAAAACCAGCTCCCACCCTAGACATAATTAATGAACCTTCATCACCTTTTTTCTTAATGAAGTATGTAGGTCGCACTTGGACTTGCCCTTGATATATTCTATAGCACCCTGAATACCACCAAGCTGCATCAAGAGTTCACGAATCTTATCAACAATACTTTTCTTTGCGTCTGTTGTCCTGACCAAATCCTGAAAATTTAAATTCAAAAACACAAGGTTAAAAAATCGTAACTAAGATATCTTCATGCAAGCAATTATACTTGTAAAATTGACTTAATTAAATTAGTCCAGCACAAGCTGAACTCTTCCCGAGATTTAAAGAGTGTTTGTGTTCAGCTTAATCACACTTAATATGGATACTAGTACAAAATGCATTCTATTAGCCCAAAAAAATAAATGAAGGTTAAGGGAAAATTTTGAAGTATGATACAAACAAGAAGTCCAAAGCTGGCTTTTTAAGCAATGTGATTTGTATATCATTCAGATCCATTTGCATGCCCTACTAGCAATAAAGCAGAATGACCTCCACCAATAGCTTTGAACAACCAAGTTAACAAACAAAATTATATTTTCAAAATATTGTGATTCATTTATGTTAGAATAGTTGTGATGACCGTGTCATCTTTTCTTTTTCCGAGTTTATTTTTTTATTATTTATTATTATTATTATTTTATTTTATTTCCTTTTCGTCTTAGGGTTGTGTTGTGTGGGCCCAAGAACAAGTGTTCGGGAATGGCTCCCGACACTTCATTCATTTCATCATTATATATTCTACCCTCGTGCTCTGTTACATGGACTCTTCAAAAGTAGTGAAGTACCCGTGTCGGACATATATCCCTCGGACATGGGTATGGGATATGTGTCCGACACTTTTGGTTGGACATGTAGTTAAAAAGCTTAGTCAATCATTCAATTACATTATAGTATTACTTTAAAATGAGTTAAATTCCTATACATAACATATTATTAGATAAAAACATTACTTTACTCTAGAAAATAAAATAAAATAATTAATAAAATGAATATTTAGCCATGTCTGTGTGTCCTTCTATTTGGAGATTTGACATATCCGACACATGGATACATAACCGTGTCCGACACCCATACCCCGAGTCCATGTAACATAGCCCTCATGACATTATAGAACTGCATAGCACTTGTATGCATTTTAACTTATATTTTGTGGGGTATTTGTGCGATTATGTTGTGGGGGCATTTTCATTTTTGGGGGTCTTTGAGCGAATATCTTTTAAAGATATTTTCATTTGTACGATCATCTTTTGGAGATATATTATTGGAGGAACCTTTGTGCAATTAAGAAAAGTTAGGACAAGTTTTTGTTTTCATTGGACCATGTGTTAGTGCGGTTGGTGACATGTGGGGGGCTAGGATGGTGACAAGTGAAGGGCTTCGATGGTAGTGTGTGAGAGAGGTAGTGCTATGGTATGTGTTTTTGTTAAGGTAGGCACAACCACTTCTATCACGTTCAGACAGCCACGCTCAGTTTTTCCCAGCTAGCACTTCCTCTAATGTCTCACTTATCAGAATTTTGTACTCCCACCGTTCTCTAGGGTTTTTTTTTTTTTTTTTCCCTCATTTTCCGTAATGAGTAGAAACCTGCTCCGATCACCGTCCGGTGAGGCAGGCCACCTCTGCTCTCTCCCCAGAGAGGAGATGTTTTGAAAATTTTCCATTCAGTACGATCACTATACCAATAGCAGAAGCCTCAATTCCTTTGAGCACCACCACCTTAACTTTATCGTCGAGCTTCACGATTATTGCAGTTTTGTAAAAGCGGAAATCAAAAGACTAATCATGAATTGCAAGTTGAAGGCCGCTGATTTCACCGTTCACCACTCTCAGCAACCTTGTGTTTACAGCAACGACACACTCCAATGGTGTATTTTTGGAAAATTCATCTACAAATGCTTGTTTGGATACGCCATGTCTTTTGCTGGACGTTTTTGTAGGGTCTGGTATGGAGGAGCTAAAAGATTGGCTCAAAAAAAAAAAAAAAAAAAATGTATCACGTGAAAGGGTTTCTTGAGTGGGATTTGGTGCAGGAGTGGTAGAGGAACGTGGATAAATTATGGAATGAGATTGCTAGTATTACTTCTATCAAGAAGCTGAATAGCGTTCAAAACAATGCAAGTCTATTGTGTTTCTGTCCGCCAACCCTAACTTTAGAAAAAAAACTAACTTTAACAGATTTTCCAAATTATGTTTCTGTCCCCCCAACCCTAGCTATAAAAGTTTCAAGAGAGTTCCTCTAAGCCTTCTTTAGAAAAAACTAAAAAAGAAAAATAAGGAAACGTAAGCTTAAAACAAACCTTATTTGCAAGAAGTTTCTGGTATTGTTTCATTTCATCTTCGAGCGCATCCCTCTGCTCAATTAGCTCCTTCAACCTGCTCCCTTCCTTATTATTGTCCTGGAGGTTATCAAGAGACGACTTCCAATCCTTCGGATTCTTTGCATGCACAGCCCTGCAGAAATGCAAGTCTCATGGCATTAATAGAACACATCCCTTCAAAGAATAAAGAGAATCTCATGAAGCATAAGACTAAAAGATTGCTAAAGAGCCATACCAGTCAGCTTCGCCATTATAAGTTGACTTTTTATTCCTAATAGCTGTTTTTAGCCTGCATCCATAAACATTAAGTTAATAATTCAAAACATGATTGTAAGAATAATTCTCACTAGATGACATCGAAAATATAGCTACATTTTACCTAAACTAGGAGGTAAAACAGAAAGATCTTACCTTTCAGGCTCTTCTTCTCCCATTAGAGTAGGTGCTATCTTGGAATACAACAGACTATGATAGCTCACTCCAGCTATATTCAGTGTTTTCAGGAACTCTACATGATTTTTCAAATTTTCATCGCTGCCATTTAAAAATAGAGCAATTAGGAGCAGGAAAAAAAATCATGGTGCAAATCATTTACTTGAGATGTGATATAATACCTCCTTCAAAAGCAAACATGCAAAAGCAAAGAGCTTTGATAATAATTTGTATAGACTAAGAAAGATCGAGATTTAATGTGTACCAATGTGGACCCAATTAAACCAAAAAGCACAAATCAAGGAACATGATGAGTGTGTATGCTGCAAGTAAAATGTCATGACAACTTTTTGAGATTTAAAATAGGCGATTTCATAATAACAAATTTTTAATCTCAAATTTCATAGGAGCTTCATAGAAATCCAAATTTGATTCACTCAACAACTTCTATTTCTTCCCATTATTCCGATGGTAAGACTAGTGAACCTGATTGTGGCACTGATGCTGATAGGAAAATACTAAGATCATTACTTGATCGATTTAAGGCTAAAGCCACTGCCATTGACGAAAGCGAAGATATAGATCAAATTAAGTTAATTGACTTAGTCGGGTCACTTCAAACTTCTAAGTTAAATACTCCTCCATCTAAGAGAAGGTAAAAAACATTGCTGTAAAATCTATCAGAGGTAGTATGATTTTAATGAGGAAATTGCTCTGCTTGCAAGAAAATTCAAAAGATTCTTAAAGAACAAAAATTGCAAGAAAGGTAAAATTCCTAAGAAATTTGACTCTATGAAGGACAAAAATAAAAGAAATTCAACAGATGTAACTTGCAGGAATTGTGGCGAAAAATGTCATTTTCTAGGTGATTGTCTAGAGTAACCTAAAGAAGAGTCAAAGGATAAAAAGAAGAAGAAAACTAAAGCTAGGGCAATGAAATCCACACACTCTCTGACTCATTTGAATCGAATAGTGATAATAATTCTTCTGAGGCTGATGATGTACCTCAAATTGTATTGGTTGCAATTGTTGAACCTCAAAGTACTTCCAAAAATGAGCTTCTAAATTAAACATTAAATACAAAAGATGATGCAAATAGCCATACTGGAAGTGAAGCTGAAAAGAAGGATGATAATCCTTCAAAGCAAATGAACTATTTCACGAGAATGTTCAAGCTAAAAGGTTAAGTAAGAATTTGAAGGCTAAAGTCAAAAAACTAGAACAAACTTAGAGGAAACCTTGAGGCCATAGCTGAAAATAATAATAATAATATTTTGTTGCACGATGAACTTCAAAGATGCAAACCTGGTTTTTTCAACAAAATAAATGTCTTAGTTCAAGGAATATTTATTTATTTTTGTTATAAAGTCTTAGTTCAAGGAATTGAAGCGCATAATTTGAAAAAATTCTAATCTGGGAGGGTCTAGTTACTCTAATGTGTTGGATCCTGTTAAACGGATTGAATTCTTGTCCAGCCCATGCCAATTAGTGAAATGTTTTGGGAGACAAGGAGGAATTCAAAAGAAAGTATATTTTTCCAAGAAATAAACTTTATGGTCTGAACAGATCAGGTCATTCTCATGGGTCAAGTTGTTGCGAATAAGTCGGATTCTTGTAAACTGGTCAGCCCATGCTAACTTGTTTTTTTACATTCAAATTTCATAAAATAGTATAGAATTTTCAAAAAAATGGTTATTGGATTTACGCTATCAAGCAGGTTTGACCAACCCGTTTCAACCTGGCTCACACAGTTAATATTGTTCCTACATATTTTTATCCGTCTATTTTTTATCCATCTGAATATGATGATGAATTTAGCACAAACTAAGAATGGCTTTTATGTTTTTTATATTAAAAGTGATTCATTGGGTCACGATGGGTTGACTCCATCCATTTTGACCCAACCCAAATTTGACCAGTCACAACCCATTTTTTGACCCGGTCCAAACCCACCCATTTCCCAGGCCAGATTAGAAACAATTTTACTATAACAAACCTAACATTAAAGAAAGGGAAAAAAGAAATATAACTTCAAATGTTATTTTTCAGTACATTGATTTCGGATTGCCGTCATCGCTATGCAACCGCCGCTGAGTATCAGAAAAATCATACCCCAGTTTGGGGGGCTTGAAAACCTCTTGGGACTCCTGGAAGAATCAATTGAAATCAAATATTTAGACTACCTTATCTTCAAGATGTAGTACCTTATAAAAAAGGAAAGAATTACTTTCTAATAACATACCATTTGACTAAAGTACCGAACATTGTGTTTCTTTTCAGTTGTGGCTTTAAATAATCCGGCCTTTAGTACCTATATCATTAAATTAAAGCAGTCATGCTTATAACAAAAAAGAAATTCTTCCATGAATAATAACCAGACAAGTTTCAAGAAAACGTATATGTTAAACCTGTTTCTGGTACATCTTCTCCTCAACTGTCCCACATGTCACCAATCTATATACAACAACATCATTTTCTTGCCCAATCCGATAGGCTCGATCAACGCTTTGATTATCAACACTGCAAGCATAAAAGAATACGATAAAAAACACTTGTTATAGAAAGTCACATTGTCACCTTTCTTGGAAGCGCAATAAGCAATATCCTCACTCAAAAACACTTGCACATAATAACTGAAATATGATGTTCATCACTTAAGGAGTACGCTGTAAATATAATGAAACTACTTGATATTTGTTTCCAGAAATATTTATGCTTGTTAAAGTACAAAAAATTTGAACAGGAAAAAGAAAAATCATGCACCTCGGATTCCAAGCTGGGTCCACGATAATGACCCTATCTGCCTTTGTTAGTGTTAGGCCCAAGCCACCAACTTTGCTCGACAACAACAAGATGGGACCACCAATCCCATGTTGAAAATCCTGAGACATTAACTTAACATGAAAATTGGAAGAGGGGAGGGGGGGGGGGGGGGTTTGAAGTAGACCACTTACGTCCACAATTTTTGTTCGGTCCTCTGGTTTAACCTGACCATCAATACGAGCGAAATCATATGGCTTGGATACTAGTGACTCCTGGAAAGAAATTGTCAAAAATATTAGCATCGTGCTGGAGCAAATAAAATTTAGAATTATAACGGGATTCAAATAACATTAAACAAGTTAATTGTATTTTAAAAAAAAAAGAAAAAAAAAAATCATTATATACAGGATTGAACATTCAATCCTATAACAAGTGATGTCCAATTATCAATGCAGTTGTCAATTTAACCAAAGACTATCTTATATCGTTACCTAAATTTTTTTTGATAAATAAATAATTCATTAAAAAAAGCGTTCAAAAGGAAAACTCATCCCTAACAAAACACAAAAACCTGGGTACCCTAAGGCCCCAAGGAAGCCAAAAACTCTATAGTCTCCTCAACAGAAGAACAGAGTCGACCCAAACCCCAAAAACAAAGAGAAGATGATCAACCGACTCGCCATAACCCAACAAACTCCAAACAAACCTAGCAAAAGGTTCCAACAATCGACCGCCACTGGACAATGCAAGAGAAGATGATCAACCGACTCGCCATTACTTACACATGCAACAACAATTCACCGTGATAAGCTTTCTCCTTCTCAAATTATCCAATGTCAAAATTTTACCCCACACAACCGTCCAAGCCAAAAAGGCCACTTTCAATGGCGCTTTAGTGCGCCACACAGCCTTCCACGGGAATACCACCCCATCCAAATCCACCAGGCATCCGAAAAAAGATCTCACACTAAACATTCCCCTAGCAGATGAAATCCAAGCAAGAGAATCCCTACCTCTTCCCCGGATCACTTGGCAAAACAACTCCTCTAAAAAACCAAAAATATCATCCATCTCCCAATCCTGAAAAGATTGCTGAAACAGCACATCCCAAACCAGTCTCCCGCTATCAAGACGATAGCAGTCAGCCACCAAGATCCACCGCAATCCTAAACAATCTAGGGAAAGAACATGCTAACATGCGGTCTCCACACCACACATCCTCCCAAAACCAAATCTCCCTACCATCATGAATTTTGAATCTGACATGCTTAGAAAACTCATTCCATCCCTTCCGAATGTCTTTCCAAACACCTATCCCTCCAGGCACTTGTTTAGCCTTTGTTGTCTAAACTCTAAAGTGGCAGGGCTTGACGTTGACATTAATGTGTCCATGTGTTTTTTCGGGTCATTGTGGGACAAAAGATGTGAGACAACCTTAAATTACTTAGTGTTCCTGTCCCCCTCCTTATACCATAATGCTCTAGATTTCTATCGCCACAAAATCTCCTCCGACACAGCAATCTCACCTTGGCACACCACTCTCCTACTTCTTTGCTCATCATCAATATCACCCATGCCTTCCCGGCGATCAATCTCTGCAATCTCCGCCAAAGCCCTACTCTTCCTCCACTCGAGATTCTCGAAAACCTCCTTATTCCACCTTTTTATCTCCCTTTTCAGCACTCCAAGCTTTCTAGCAAGAATAAAACTCGGGTTCCCAGACAACATACCCCTTTCCCACCAAGACCTCACACACTCCTGAAAATCATTCGCCCTAAGCCAAATATTTTCAAAACAAAAAGAAGTCATTCTAGACCTTAAACCAATACAATCCAACACCAAAGGAATATCACGTTGAGAACACTTAATTAGATCCACCTGCGAGAAAAAATTATTACATAAAATTACAAAATGATATAAGACTAACCTGAATGAAATTTAGCATCTTCAGGGACTGAGAAAACACAAGAACATTATGCCCCTCGGGAATTAATGCATCCTGTGATAAGCATATAACATTAGATAAAGCAATTAAATGATCTATCCAAATTATTAATTCTATAGTTTGAGAAATCTCTAACCAACAAAGATAAGATGAATGATAGCTTGCACGAATCATTCTCATTCTTTTTTTCGCAGTTCAACTTTTGACAAACATGATTTATGTGTTTGGCCATCATTTTTCCAGGAGATTTTTTGTCATCCTTGCTTTTAGGAGATCTAGATTTTTGGGCCTTCGTGTTTTCCACAACCCCTAGTTCTTCTACAAATTCAGCTGCATTAGTCAACCGCTCAGATACATCAGCTTCATCATAGTCTTTCAGCATGTCTGGATGATTGCATATGTCGATCATAACCTGCTTGAAAAGACATAATATTTGGTTAGTATCTTGACTGAGTTAAAAATGGTAACCAAAAATAGCAAAACAACCAAAAAAAGTAAAGTGTAGTCCATCTCTTTACAGAGAAAATAAGGAAAAAAAAAACATTTAATAAACCTTAAACCAATAATACCAATTATATATATAACAAATTTCAGGATATTACAGTAGAGAACGGTTCCCCAACTCATTCTGCCAACACAGCCCCCTTCCTTTCTCCTTCATTTTCTTTTCTTCTCCTCCTTGATTACATGTGTGCGTTATACTCAGGATTTTGTGCATCGCCCATTAATCCTGTCGTTTGTAAGTACATAAAGTGGTCATCTATGTCTTGTTTTTTTGTTTTTTATTTGTTTATCTAGTTTTTTTTTTTTTCTTATTTAAGATACACATCCATCAACATCTGTATATTGTTTTGCAAACGAAAAACTGCTTTAGAAGCTAAAAGAACTCTAATGCCTAATGCCTACCTTAGCAAATTAGCAACATTAAGGACCATGTCCTTGAAGATCCTATAACATGCTTTCCCTCCTTGAGACAATATTATTTCTTCACATATTGTAGATGTGTGAATCAAGTAGATTATGCATTCAACAAATTATTCAATAAATTTCTAATGACGTAACAGGAAAGGGAAAGATCTAAAAAACTATACAGTCATTGCAGCCAACGGGGAGCCCCCAAGCTTCGAATGGTGCATTCTTTCCAAAAAGCATCGATACATTTTACGCTACAACAAAGAAAGAAAGTCAGTGCTCAACGTTTTTAGTTACCCAAATTTCAGTGAGAGATGACGTGAATGTAGGAGTTGAAGAAGTTGTACCTGGCAGGTAGTCAATCTTAGCCAAACGATAATGTCGTGTTTCTCTGGAGCATTTGGGATTTTGTCCTTGCAAAATACATCGCTTTTCATGCGACGTAGAAAATATGGTTTAATTGTCTCCCTCAATTCCTGGGAGAAAATTATAGCAAAAATAGTAACATCGGATTATTAACATTTCTTCTAACCTCTTGAGAACTTGGTTCACTTGCAAAGACAACGATTAAACAAAAAAGTCAAACAAGCAAGAAATTAAAATTTAACTGAAATTCTCATAGTACATATTACTTTATGAGTGCCCCTTTTTTCCTGGTAGGTACATTGTGAGTACCACGCATAAGAGAAGATAGTAGTGAGAAGAAACTAACAGTGAATGCAAAAAAGTACTAATATAGACTGATGTTTCACCAAAGGTGAGGCGGAAGTCCAAACAACCGAATTTTCTTACACCCTCGATCCTTAAGAACTCAAGAGCATCCGACCCTAAAATTCCGAACATCAATATATAATATATAATATAATATTTAACAATATATATATATATATAGGTAAAGTAATCCAAGCAATCAGTTCTTTATTTGAGCCCACGAGTTCTAATAATTGGTGTTTGGTGGCATTATGTACTTAAGGTAACAAATTTACTCAGATCACGGTTTGTGGCATCAATTATTTGGTAAAAAAATAAAATATTAATTTTAAGGAAATAATAATAATAATAAAATAACAAATAAATAAAATTGAATAATCAATTTAAAATCGTATTAAGGGGTTAATAGTATCACCAATTACCAACAAAATAAGGTAATGAAATTTTCTAGTATCTTCTAGGAGGCCTATAAATACAACCATTCACTTCTTCGAGAGGGGGGCGACGAGAGGAAGGGAAGAAAAATAAAACCTTATCAAGTAATACCCAACCCTCTCACTCACTTTCATAAAGCATTCAATATCCTTCAAGTTCTCCATAGAGAACAATAAGCCTACCGCCGCAAGCTGCCTCCAGGTAAGTATATTTTCACCTTTGCTCTTATGCATATATCTCTTCTTCTACTCTTTCTTTACATGACCCATGTCTGTGTGCAGTAACCCTCATCATTCTTAGGCATGATACCCTTGAAGATATAGTGTACACCATGGCTCCCATGGGTCCTATATCCGGGGTGGGTTAAAGAATGATGAGTTCCCTCAACCTACCCTTCATACCGTAGTTTCCTGAAAGGAATATTTTTGTGCAAACCCAATATTATTGTTGTGTGTGCATTCATCCAAATAAAAATAAAAATAATTCTTGTTTTTTTTTTTTTTTTTACACAATTATTTTTATCTACAAGCGTGATGGCTTCATGGCACCCTAGTTGTCATGATGGTCATCCATGCTCCATGACTCTTGTAGGGATCTCAACTATGTTACATGGACTCGGATACGGGTGTCAGACACGGGTATGTATTCATGCGTTAGACGTGTCAAATCTCCAAATAGAAGGACACGCGGACACGGCTAAATATTCATTTTATTAATTATTTTATTTTATTTTCTAGAGTAAAGTAATGTTTTTTATCTAATATAATGTTCAATATAAGCATTTAACTCATTTTAAAATAATAATATAATGTAATTGAATGATTGGATATGTTTTTTAAGTATATGTCCAACCAAAAGTGTTGGACACATATTCCACACCTATGTCCAAGGGAAATGTGTCTGACACGGGTACTTCACTACTTTTGAAGAGTCCATGTAACCGAGGATCTCAATACCCTTGTTTTGACTACCAATAATTTGCGGTGTAGTTCGAAACGTTTCAAAGTCATGATCTTTGTATTGCTCACACACTCACTCTATGTTGTCTAAACCAAGTAATAAACTTAGGTTTTACTAAAAATCATTCAAAGCTCTTTTAAAAATTTGTTTTCAAAATTTTCATTAAATTAATATAATTGATAAAAAAATCAGGAATTCTTCTTCTCACCTAAAATACACATATTTTAGGCATAGGTTTCTAAAATAACCTAGAGTAAATAAAAGCCAAAAAAATCTTTTTGGAACCCTAAGATTCATATATTTTAAGCAAAGGTCATTAAAAATCTAGTGTAAATAAAATTGCCATGCTTTCATAAAAACAGAACTCTTATATTTTTCAATACTAAGAAAACATTAAATTCTAATTTTCTCAAAATCTAGTATTAAATTCCAAAGTAAACTAAAAATAATTCATTTACTTTTAGGTCAAATTAGTGCCTAAAGGTTAATTTGACATATTTTCGTTATAAAAGTCATATCTTTTAAAAATTAAAACTTTCATAAAAAGAAAATAATTTTCCTAAAAATAATACTTTCTTAAATCATGTTTCCTAAAACATAAGTTTTCCAAATATTATTCTCTATAAAAATAAATTTTCTTAAAGTACAAGTTCCCTAAAACTCAGATTAACAAAAATAATATTTTTCTAAAAGTCATATTTTCTAAAATAAAACTTCCATAAAAGTCATATGTCATAAAGTAAAATTTTCCTTAAATAAGCTTTCCTAAAATTCATGCTTCTTAAAATAAATATGTTCTTAAAATAAAATATACCATAAAAGTTATATTTCTTAAAATAAAACTTTTCTAAAATAAAGTCTTCCTAAAAGTATGTTTCTTAAAATATATTTTTAAGTTTTATTAATTATCACTCTTTTTAAATAGAATATTTATAAGTTAGAACTCAAAAGTCTTTTCCAAAAAGTATTCTTCCAAATATATTAATTGTTTTTCAAGTCTCTTTGAAAATTTAAATTTCATCCTTTCAAACTTATTCGAATGTAATATATCGTTTCTTAAAAATCTTATTCAAAAATTAGACTAGCATATTACTTTCTTGAAAATCATATTTTTCAAGTATAAGGTCTCTCTCAATTTAAATTCTATTTTCAGAACTCTCCAAGTAAACACATGATTTTCTTAAAAATCCATTAAATCAATCATATGATTTTCTTAAAGATCATTCTCACTTTAATTCAAATTCTATTACTGCTTGTTCTGAGCCAGTTTTGGGAAACAATTTTGGGCCCTTGGTTCCTGTGGTGGATGGCAATGGTTCTAAGCCGTCAGGTTCGATCCATGTTTGCAGTCCGATTCTGGTACAAGTAAGTCCATCTCTTCGCATGGGCTCTCTCCTTTTCACCCTTCTTCTTCTTTTTCCTCTCATCCTTGTGGGGTGACACGAAAGAGCTTGGGGGTGGAAAAGGGAGTGTTGTCTTCTGTTTCAAATTTTTTGTCCCCGGTCTTTGAGGAAGATCCGGAGCCTGACTGTGTGGAGCGGCATGGTGGAGGTAGTGTTAAAGGGTTGGGCTCCTCTCGGCTTTGTGACATTAGCTGTGAGGGAGTTACTGTTTGTGTGGGGCGAGATGTGAAGATTAAGCTTGATGAAGCTACAACTAATGTTTTATTGAAGGAGTTGCGGGATCATATGGCCTTGAAGGGTTTGCAGTGTGATTCAAGGGATTATGTGTCTGATGAGGAGGTTGTGACATCGTTGGCTTGTTGTTCCCCTTCCTCTTCTGATGTTTAGGAGGGAGCTGCAAGTTCCTCTTTTGATGGGGAGTTGGATTTGGTTCAGTGGGAAGGGGGTGAGCCAGATGTTGATATGTTTGTCCCTTTGGTTGTTGTTAGACCGGAGAGGGAGTGTGTGAGGGATTCTGCTGCTGCTGACAGAAAGGATTGTTTGGAGGAGGAGTGATTGAGAGAGAAGGGTGGGTACTCTTTTGGGAGTGTCATTTGAAGGTAGGATGGATGAGGCGATGAGGTTGTTCCATGACGTTCTTGATGCTCAGCTTTTGAATAGGGTGGGAAGAAGGGGTGGGACTCAGGCTGGGATGGGGGAGAGGGAGGTGCAGAGTCCCTCTGATTTCGTTACTTATGAAAGGAGGAATAGGGGTCCAGGGAAAGGGACAGTGGAAGGAGGAGTGGGATTGCTATTTCATCTGTTTCCTTATGAAGCTACGAATTCTATCATGGAATGTCCAGGGTCTCAATGACTCGGTTAGAAGAAAAGTTATGAAGTCGGGGATTTGTAAAGACGGTGACGGACTTGATTGTGCGAAGCTTTTGTGTGTGTGTGTGTGTGTGGGGGGGGGGGGGGGGGGGGGGGGGTGGGGATTTGTGGAGTGGATTGCTTTGAATGTGATAACCGTTGGGTCCAGGTGGGGCTTTTCTCTGCTTCCTGCGTCCTTTCTTTGTTGGAGGATGGTTTTCGCTCAGTTTTTCCTGGTGTTTATGGTCCTACAGAGAATAGCGTGACGTTTGACATAAAGTCCTTCTCGGAGTTCATTGATGTGTCTAGGTTGTTTGATTTGCCTTTGGTGGGTGGTCCCTTTACTTGGTCTAGTGGTCGCTCTCCTCCTTCCCTCTCTCGACTTGACAGGGTCCTTGTGTCAAGTGATTGGGAGGAGAAGTTCTCTGACGTTGTTCAGGCCACTTTGGCTCGCCCTTTATCTGATCATGTTCTGCTGATGTTGGATTGTGGTGGGTTGCATAGTAGAATATCCCTTTTCAAATTTGAGCCTGGTGGGTGAGATATGCAGTGGTTGGCACCCCAAGTCATTCTCTCGCAAGTAAGATGCGCCTTTTGAAGAATGATATTAAAGTTTGGAACAAAGAGGTTTTCGGTAATCTGGTTAGGAGGAAGAATCGGGTTTTTTCAAAGATTGTTGATATTGATCGGATGAAGGGTCAGGGCATTTGGCGGATTCCTTGAGACTTAGGAGGTGGAGTGTCGGGCGGAGTTTGCTTGCTGAGATTGCTGTCATGGAGGAGATTTCATGGAGGCAAAAGTCTACAGCTTTGTGGCTCAAGGAGGGCGACAATAACACGAAGTTTTTTCATAGACTTGCCAATGCTCATAAAAAGGGCAATCACATTAGGAGCATCCAAGTGGATGGGGAGATGTTTTGTAAGGAGGAGGAGATTTGTAAGGGTTTTGCTGATTACTATTTGATGTTGTTCACAGAATCTGCTGGTTGACCCTTGCTTGCAGGGCTTCATTTTGACTCTATTTCGAGTGAAAAGTGCTCTATTCTAGAAGAGCCTTTTTCTGAAGAGGAAGTTCTGTCTGCATTAAAGAGCTGTAACGGGGATAAAGCCCCAGGTCCA